TGGACTTCAACTCCCAGAATTCCCCAGCCAGCGAATGCTGGCTGGGGAATTCTGGGAGTTGAAGTCCAGACATCTTCAAGTTGCCAAGGTTGAGAAATACTGCTTTAAGGGATTGCATGATTGGCGTAAGCCAGTCACCCCCCCCTCCCCCAAACTTCCCCTGTTGGATTTCTCACTGGCGATGGCCCTTCTAAGAGAAACGCAAAGCTGCGAACTTTTTCTTTTCCTGCGCGGGGCTGAACCTCGGCCACTTCTCTCCCGTGCTGGCGTCCTTTCCTTTCCCAGTTTCTCTGTAACGTAAAAATAATAACTTCCCTGCAATGGTCACTGCCTTGATTGCATCAATTCCCTGCTCTTTGCTCTGTGCCTTTTCCCGTGTGAGCAGCCAGCCGCCCATCCGGGCGTGTCAATACAGGAAAGGCCGTGATGGCAGCCGCCTTAAGGGAACTCACATTTTCTCGGCTCCCGCTAAGCTTTCAGCAGTTTTGATCCGGGTAGATCTGGAACTTGGAAAAATTCTGTCATTCATTAGGTGACAAAAAAGGAGGATGAGGGTTTTTTTTAAAAAAATAATTCTCCGTTACAGTGGCGTAGAGGTGAGAAAAGAAGGGAAGAAAAGACACTAGGAAGCGTGTCAGCGGTAGAGCGACAGTTTGCGCTGGAAAGGGCGTTTTTGGGGAACCCAGCCTGGAAGCTGCTGTTCTTGCAGTCTTCTTGTGAAGGGAGCAGAGAATAAGCATGCCGTGCCTTATTTATTTTAATTAAATGTACATGCTGCCCATCTTCGCTGCAAAATTCCAGGCAGCCAGTAGGTGGCACCAAAGATCCTCAAAATGCTTCATCCTTTTATATTTAGTTTAAGGGATGCCTGGACTTTTGCAGCATAAAGAGAGGTGGGTTTAAACAGTTAAAGGTGGGGATGGGGGTGGATAATTTCTCCATATGCCTATAGGAAATCAAACAGCAGAAGACAGAATCCATGAATGATAAAATATGGTCATTAGCATCACGGTTCAGTAATCTAGAAGACAGATAAATATAAAACCAGCTGGAAATTAGCTGTTTACAAATTACGGTATGTTGTAATGAAAAAGGCCATGTATCCCACCTTTCTAATAGAGGAAGTTGACTAAAGAAGATTAGCTGGTGAAATTCTTAAAGTAGCCTCCTATGAATTGTTTCCCTTAAATGCATGGAGGGAAATAAGGGGAAAGGTTGAAGGATTTCTGCAAGGGCAAGCAAACATCTCCTCCTGCTCATCTCATGAACATGGAAACTGATCGTTAGCTAGTTATTATCAAATGACATTGTGGTTTATAGATAAGCTCCAGGTCATGTTGACTACCCTACCGGATGCTTAGCAGCTTTCATCTGCTGATCACAGGGTCCGTAACAACCTGGAATTCACAGGTTGTTTCAGAATCCATTAATAGGTGTCTGCAGGGGTGGTAAATGAGGGCAAATACACTCTAGGCCCTGCAAGGCAAACCACATGACTTTTGTACACATATCTTATCTCAGGGCATAAGTAGGAAAGGCCAAGATTTATGTTATGATATGCTCTTTTTTTGACATTGTGGTTTGAACTGGATAGCAATTCTCTGAATTCTAGTTGCCAAGAAAGACGTCAAAAGATTGTAGACTGGGGTAATTCTACAATCCTATGGTAATTCTGTACTGAAATTATTTGTGGGATGGTGTTATGTGGCAAACTGGGTGGTAGAATGTAAAAATAAAAAGATGTAACATTTTTCTGTACTGGAGACGTACCAGTCATTTTTACACAAATGTGGCTGGAAAGGGAGGTATGCCCATGATTTAATTTAGAGCACATGATTCAATTTAGAGCAGATATGTCATGGTGAAAAGGATCTTTAATAATAACAAGTCTTGATAAACTTGCTAAGTTTGACTACATTAGAGGAGAATTTTCAGGAATAATTTAAGTAGTTTATTCCACTTTATAAAATATCCTAAAAACTTAAGACCTTGTTCTTTCCGTTTCCATCTAGAAGTTTTATTAGTTTTAAAAACCATGTCAATTCAATTGCTTTAGAATATAATCTTAAATATTCTTCCACAGGTTGTATTGGAGTGGAGCAGGGACCAGTATCATGTCCTGTTTGACTCTTACAGGGATAACGTGGCTGGGAAATCATTTCAGAACAGGTGAGCCTCAGATCTGGAAAGGCATTGCTTTCTTCATTGTGCAAGAAATGCAGATGCTAGTGTTTGTTCCACAGGCAGGTTGGTCTGGTGCAGTGATGGCTAACCTTTTCCAGACCAAGTTCCCAAAGTGTGCATGCGTACCCAAACCCCCAAAATGCAATGCGTGCATAGCCCTGTGCATGTGCCACCCCCACATGCCCTGTGCCTGTGCCTGGCCATGCACTCCACCTCTGCATGCATGCGTGCATGCCCCCCGCATGTGCCCTGCCCTGTGCATGTGTGCGCACCCCCTGCACATGCCCCAACCACGGTCATAACTGGCTGGTCCCGATGGCCAGAGGGAGGCATGTGTGCATGCATGGTGAAGCTGAACTAGGGCAACAGCTCAAGTGCCCACAGAGAGGGTGCTGCGTGCCACCTGTGGTGCATGTGCCATAGGTTCGCTTTCACGAGTATAGTGGTTAAAGCACCAGGTAAGAAATTTAGAGACCAGTGGGTTACTTTGGATCAGTCCTTCTCTCTCAGCCTAGGAAGAAAGCAATGGCAAAGGATTTCTGAAAAAAATTGCCATGAAAATCCAGGGTCTTGTTCAGAGGAAATCTTTGAGAGTCAACAGAAACTCAAAGGTGTACGTACACACACACACACACACACACACACACACACACACAAGAGAAATTGCACCAACGCTATTTCCTCTGCATTGTTTTCCTTTCCCCCTTCCTTAAGTCATAAATTCACTATATAAGCTGAAGAAGAGTATAAATTCTCTGTACAATTGAAGAAAGGCAGAAAGAAAAACATGAAACACTGAAAAAATAAGAATTTTTTTTTAAAAAAACACATGTTGTATCCGATACAGGTGTTATATACAAACGTTTGGCTATTTATTTTTATTTGAAATAGTTTTAGTTGCTAGAAATGATAACACAGAAGAAACACTGTTGCTGCAATTACTCCAGATTCTTGGAAGTGGAGATAAATGTTTTCATTAAAAAAAAAAACCAATACGATACTTTGTAAATGTTTAGAATTGATATACTTATGAATGTATAGTATCTGTTATAGAAACAGTCTTTCAGCATGGAATCCTAGATGCCTTTAAACTTAGTTCCCACGACTTGGCTCAAAACCCAACCAACAGTTATCAAAAATTTTCCTAGGTCACTTAGTTCCTATATTCTTATCTTGGTCATGGTCAAGTTAATCCAATTTTCAATGTTTAAACAGTTAAACCTAGAAGTTTGGTTTGTACATACTAGGCAGAAATGTGGTTGATTTATTTGCAGCTTAATGTGTTTTACAAAGAACTAAAGGTTCCTGGCATTTTCAGAGATCCAGAAATAGGCAATGATTTTTTTAGAAACATGATACCTTGAGAATAACTCTGATTTGGTGTATTGATAGCCACTAAATGTAGAACAAAATACAGCTCTATTTCCAGATACCTTACATCAGAAGATAACAAAATGCACTTTGGATCCTTGTTAAGGCAGGAACAAATTCTGGATTAGCTTTATTTCATTAATCTGAACTGGCCTTTGAACCTTCCTAGATATCAACGTTTCTAAGGGTTCCTGCCTGCCATTGTTCTTCTGGTGTATTTTAGATATGTCACATTTTGTTAGTTTTGATTTCAAATTTTCTTCCATTTTAAACCTTTTTTGTCTTTTGAAATGCAAATTAATTCAGATGGCATATACAAGAGTATACAATCCTTTTGCTAGGTGTTCTGACCTAGGCTTCCCAAGAGCATGAAGCAACTCCTTGTCCCGATAAAAATCCCTTTTATTAATTGACTGTGGATTCTGCTCATTCACATCCAGCAAAGTCTTTCAAGGGAGGATTTACAATCACAGACCTTATCTTGCTTGGAGAGCTGCCAGGCCAATATCTGCAAAACTTGGCAAGGAGTCTCGGAGAGTCAGGAACCAATTAAGCGAACTAATTGTCTCCTGCAAACTCTACTCCCCTTTCGCTCCTCATTTATTTCCTCTGGGAGGGCCATTCATCATCCACCTGTGGCCTTACTCCCAAACTTTAGCTGTTTTTTTCGTCTGGCAACTCTGCACATGCGCACACTGGGAACAGGCTCCAGCTGTTCGTCTGCCTCACTGATGTCTGACTCTCAAGGCAGCTGATAACTGTCAGATGGCTCTGGTCTCCTCTCTGGCTTCGACACAGAGCACTCCTCAGTGCCTTCCCCAGACTCCAGGACTGGCCCATGTTCCTCCCCAACCTTCTTACTGTCTAAATCTGCTGCCAACTCTTCTGGCTGCTGGCAGGTCACAACACTAGGTCACAAAATTGTGTAAACTTTATGATCACTGTATCTCTTAACCAATAACATGTTACCAAGAGAGAGTTGAAAATGTACAAAATCTGGATGTTAGAAGTCTGTGAAGTTTCAGTGAATTGTAAAATGGAAAATAGGAGCTTACAGACATTTTACATTAGGTTCTACCTGATTTTAAAAGGTGACACACCAAGAATAATATTTTTTCCACATTAATGAAAATGTCAAACCCAAGCATTATATGAACCCATATTTAGCCTTAGGAGAAACATACAGGCTTTTTGTTAAGATAGCCAAGGACAGATTAATTATACCAGGGCTGTCAAACTCCCAGTCCATGGGCTGGATGCATCACGTTCCAGCCATGCCCACATCTGGTTTAGTGAAAGGGGAAAAAGTCCTGATACATCATGTGATGCCGCAAGATTGACATCCCTGAATTAGACAATTCTTGCATGGACAAAGCTAGAGATAGTTATAAATGGTATCATTGGTAAAAAAGTGAAGAAGAAAATAAACTAGGTGTTAAATTGGATAATTATGTCATTTTTTTAAAAAAAAATCCAAATAATTGAACACCAGGCGCCACAAATTCTCTGTTAGATACCTAAGAACTGTTCCAAATTAGCTGCAGTTTGTGATAGCAAGGAACAGCAATTATCCCCCAGAGCTTTTAAATAAATTTAGACAGCTCTTAACAGACACATAAAATTGAATTTCTGTGGTGGCATTCGCAAATAACAGTGCTGCTACTAGTTTAGAATCTGTATATACGTCATCTAGAGATCACAGTTAAAAAAACAGACTATCTTTTATGCCTTCTTATAATCCATATAGAACTATATATGAATATTCAGTTGCTTCTACTCATGCTTTTTAAAATACAACATGGAACTTATTTGTGAAATTTGGAAGAAAGAGCAAAAGAAAAATACTGCGCTAAAATGTTTTTATTTAATAATTGTGTGTAATTTGTGGTAGATTCAGTTCTCATTCACATAGATGAGTCACATGCTGTTGCTTCTGATGTGAATTCACATTCTAGGTAATCATAAATAGATTTTTTTTCCTATGAGCCATCGCCCATTTCTAATTTTGAATAATCATAAGAAGGATGGAGATACTTGCTCAGTGTTGCCTTCAAAATCTTTTGCAATCTTAAATGCCACTTTATTAAGCATATTTTATTTCACTAAATTGTGTTGTAAGTCGAGGACTACCTGTATTTAAAGCAGAATATAATAATAATAATAATAATAATAATAATAATAACAACAACAACAACAACAAAACAACAATAATAATGAATACAGTATAATAATAATAATTTTAAAAAAGGATTTATAATAGCATTTGGTTATAAGTGCCTTCCAGTCTTTGCATTGGCCATATAATTAAAAATAAGTAGTAGCAAATTGTTTTGGATCTTTAGAATGGATTGGGTATTTTAAGGATTAAATAATCATATTAATAAGCATCTAATTTTCCTTAAATGGAATTAAATCCTGCAGAGATGTTGAGTTTAATGTGAGTGCTTGTTATTCAGGATTTTACCAGTTACTCTAGTTAGGCAAATCCCTATTTCAGTTTATTCATCTTTGCCAATAGTTGTTACAATGGCTAAACAATACCTATCCTTCCTACTTAAAAGAACAGCTATAGATATCTAGAAATATAAAGATATTAAGTAGCAGATTATTATGATTTTTTTTTTAAAAAAACTATATTTTTGTCTGATCAAGGAACTGTATCGGGCTTAGGCAAATCTTAATTCTGAATCAAGAAGCTCTGTGGGTAATTTTTATTCATAATTGGTCACCAAAAGAATAAAATGAGAAAATGAATCAGTGGAACTTTATATTGTATCATGAGATGTTGAGGCATGTTGGGAAATAATATTGAGTTTCATCTTTATTCCTTCTTATTGCATTCTGGCCTCCTGGTCGGTATACAGTTAATTAAAACAATGAGTATCTGATTGTTGGCACAGTAGCAGAATCATTGAGATCAGGTTGTCTCTTTGCTTTTTAAATATTAACCATTTTTTTTTTTTTAAATATACATTTTATTTATTTCATTTTCATTTTCATTTTATACAATCACTTATATACTGTGCATAAAAAAAAGAAAAAAGGAAAAAAAAACCCAACATAACACTTCATTCCCCCATACACCCTCTCTTCTCCCCCTCCAACTTTCCTTTCACCCCTCCAGCATTCCCCTCTTCTACTTCCCTTCCCCCTCAGACATCTCCCCCTCCCTCCATCTCACCCTCCTTACATTCCCTCTCACTCCCTCTTTACTTCTCCCTCCTCTTTCCCTCTTCTCCTCGCTTTGGTGTATCCATCAGTTTGTTTTTTTTTAAAAAAACTAAAAGAGAAAAAGAAAAAAAAAAGGAAAACGAGCCGCAGTATACAAGTGA